TTAAAAATTAATTCATGATTTTCATTATTTCAAATTATTTTTATAAATTTTTCTGGGACTGTTTTTTTTTATAGAATTATTTATTAAACAAAAATTAAAAATCAAGAAATTTTCAATTGTTGCAATTTTATTCATTATTACATTTTTAGATCTTTGTTATTTGAATTCTTATGTTAATTTGTCCTTTTCTTTAATGGGAGGGTATTTAAACTTTCAAGCACAAGTGAAGTAAAGATAAAAATGTTCTGGATTCCACTAGAAAAGGACGAACCTAAGCTGCAGGACAGAGGACGAGCCAAAATCTTCCAGCAGAGATGCAAACACCGTTGCATCTGCGTTCCTGTCTGCCCCCTCGCTGACTCCGCTGTCTAAGAGAGCCCGGTCAGAGTGAGCATGCTCTCTACTCTGACTTGACCTGCCGTCCATGTTTTCATCACCAAGCAGACTTCCAGATGCAATCTAAAGAAAAATGTTAACAAATATATGATTATTTAAAAATTGTAATAATTAATAATACATAAAAAAGAAAGTTTTACTTGCCTTAGGAAGACATTTGATTTAACAGTGTGACAGTGTCTTGCAGCAGTATCAATACAAACTGAAATATTTCAAATTTTGTCATGTCATACTATTAAAGTAAATGCATTATATTAGGATTGTGTGTGACAGAAAAGACAAGGTAGTGCATAACTATATGGAAAGAAAATATATAGTTTCTAATAGTGTTACAGACAAGAAGTGGGGCGTGTGTATCATATTTAGCTCTCTGAATCCATACTTTTAACTACTTTTCACTGAGGTTAACCTGTCAGTATTCTGGGTACGTTTCTCTCCTTTTACAAATGCAGAGATTGAATAATTGTCCATTCTTCTTGGCCATGGAACCTTAAGCTCAGTCAGACTTGGAAAAAGGTGTTTATAAGCATCACTTTCTACTTTTTACAAATGGATATACTGGAAGACTGGAATATCCCCAAATCTAAATTGTTTAGCAGCCTCTGCAGTGTATTGAGCAACATCCATCTTCCCATCAACCCTGACCGGTTTCCATGTCTAAACCCCCAAGCATTTTGTTTCCATCACCAGGGTTTAGGGTGATGAGCATTTCTGGTTTTCTTCCATATATTGCATAAAAACCAAAATGTCACTTTTGCTCTCATCTAAGCAAAGTACATGTATCCATATGTCTGCTGCCTCCTTTAGAGGACTTTCTTGTGCCTGTCATGAGCAATCAGATTTGTGCAGCTCACCACTAATAGTTGTTACATCAACAGATCCTCCTAGAGAGGATTTCTATATCTACTCTCCTTCATTCTCTGTCCAGCCCATCAGTTTAAGTCAGGTTTGTAGATGTGCTTTACTTCTCTGTTTAGATCTTACCTGTTCTAAGCTGATGCTTGTCTGGATCCCTTTATCCCGACCAGGAAGATGTTCACTTTCAGGGTCATCCAATGGTTGCTTCTCAGGCATTTTGTCAAGCTGCTAGAGTAATGGGATGGAAGGCGATTGTGACACAGATGGCTTGGTAAAAAAAAAAACTTAAAGAGGGAACAGAATCCATAAAATACTGAACAGCAAGAGCAGAATGGCATGATGTGTCTAATGTGGCATGGTGAGGAGAGACCATTTAATGGGACACGGAGATAAAAACAAAAACAAAAAACAAACAGGGACTGATTAGGAAAAGGGACAGAAGAAGAGGTTTGTTTCTACTACAGGCAAACACCACACTTATTTTAGAAACCACACACACCGCACTATAGACCAGGGACATAAGTAAGAGGCTAAACAGAGCGGAGGTTAAGTTGTAGGTTAGGAGATTAGAAAGGAGCTGAAAAGGTGGAGGTTAGAACAATGACACTCTGGACAAAATCTAGATAGCTGCTATCTAGGCTAAGATTCTGTTAACATCTAAACAATTCACATTAAACTCTGGGCATCTGCAGCTGTCTTTAATGTTAGCTAACCTGTCGGAACTGGCTTCTGCTGGGAACATCTTTGACTTCCTTTTCCAAAGAGTCCCGCTCTGACTTCTCCATTTGAGATAATCTGCTCTGCAGCTCATTGTTCAAACTCTGCAGTCCAGCAACACGTTCCTGTAAATCCAGCACCTGTGCCATAAAGGAAAACTTCGTCAGCATTTTTATCATTTTAGCTTATTAACATAAAAAAAAACAAAAAAAACATGACATCTCAGCTGCCCTGCAACCCTCTTTTACTTTGTTTTTAGTTCGTGTTTTTTTAGGAGCTGCTGCTCACATTACAAAATGCAGAAATGCTATTTTTTTTTTTTTACAACAAAAGATATAAAAACACTTCACAAACAAATAATTTTAAAAAAAGGTAGAAAGGACAGAATCATATCGGAGGGGCAGTTTTAAACACTAAGAGCTGCCAGAAAGTATTAGTTCTAGATATGAAGCCTGAATGTACGATAAAAACAAAGTTTCAGGTGAAGTCCACATATTGTTCTACAACATAACACCCAGCTACATGTAATCAAAGACCTTAATTACATTTGACTATAAGGTTTGAAGAATTCTTTAACCAAAATGACTTGTTTCATATACAATAATCTGAGGTGAAGGTTACATTTTTCTAAATGACCTTTCTAACAAATCTCTAGCCTAAGACATGATACAGCAGCACATCAATCACACCTGGATGTCCTTAGCAAGCCTCGGTTGACTAAACAAGATGAAAACAGTCTTTGCTAGTTTAACAGTAATTCCCTTTCATTTTACCTGATTTCTTATGCAGAGGTTGTCTCTTGTTTTGCATCTTTATCAAATACATGTTATATTCCAGTCATGTAGTTTGCACTAATTAACTGAGCATGTCCATAATAAAATGTATGTTAATATAAAGGAACAGGCTGGTGTTCTCAGGCACTCACTTTCTGCTGAAGCTCCTCGGGAGACAGTTGAGATAAGCTGTCATCTGGTCCTTCTCCCACACAGATGCTCATGTAAGAAGTTTGATCTCCAATAAAACTGAAAGTCTCACCTAAACATAAAACAGATTTATATATCTTTGAAGTAAGTGTTGAAAATCGTTTAAAGTTTGTATTGGGCGAGGGTTAGTCGTACCAGCATCACTGGTTCCACCAACTCCACCTCCACGGTTCTGAATTGCTCCCAAGCGAGCCTGCAGGGATGCATTCCAGCGCTGGGCGTCCTCCAGCTGATTCCTCATCATCTCCAACTCTTTAGGATCAGTGAGGTCCATACCTGAGCAGATCCACATCAAGGTTTATATACAACTCCTGAACATTTCTGTGTATATTCCACAGTTTAGGAAATAAAAAACACACCTAAAACTGATGCACATTTTGTATTGTTCCATTCAAAAGTAAAATATTCCAAAGTTACACAATGTATTTTATTTCCTATCTACTTAGAGCTGTGCAATATGGCTGAAAGATGTATCATGATGTAAGCCTTCCATATCAGTATATTCATGATCATTTTTTTGTTTCACATTTTCAAAATGAGGACTGGGGAAAATGAACGGCTGAATTTAAATAGTAACCTTAAATCTTTTTTAAACGTGACTTTGACCTCTGAAAAGAGATCAGCCCTACTGCCAAAATTTACTTAGCTTGGACGGTAGTTTAAGAAGCTAAATACTTTTCTCCACATGCCTCCCCCAGAAGGCCATGCGATTTCAGATCAGAGATTAGTGAAAATATAGAAGATCCTATCAGATGTATTTTTTTATTTATAATGACAATTGACTATTGGAGTTTTTTTTATTGCCAACCCCTATGTTAACTAAAAAACAACATTTTGCATGTGGACTAGTTCCGACATGACTATCTTTATGGGAATAAACAATTAGGCTTTATTAGTTTTTTTATAATAAACTGGTGGCAACTCTAAAGACAAAGCAAACTAGCATAGTGGGTATGTTTCTATTTTAAAACAAAATTGGCTAATTACACTTACAGTCTTATATGTAATTGCTTTAACACCTATTAGATAAAAAATTACATAACCAGAATTAAAATGTTGACATGTCATTAGGGCCAATGAGCACGCCTCATCTGTCCAAAAGTCTGTGAGAAACATGGGTGCTTTACTTACAGCTGACCTATTTTTAAATCTGTTACCCTGCGGATAACGCTGTTAGAGGAGCAGGCACTAGATGTGCCCTCTGGCATGAGAACACACATGCATGTGGACATTTTTGTTATGATGTCTAGGCAACAACCTCAGTCATCAGCGATGACTTAAATCAGGCAGTGCAGTGAAGTCACATTACATTTGAGTGACTCATTAAAATATGATCGGTACACATTGTAACACAGTTGGATGGGGATTTATTTCAGGAATATTTTTATTCATTCAAGTTTTATCTAAGCTTACATACGTTTGAAAAACCTTTAAATATGATAGTTAAGCTGTTACCTCTTTATTTAAAATCAAATATATGGTTGGAAGGGAGGGGGGTTAATAAAACAGGTGATGGAGAAGTGATAAGCACACAAACAAATGATTTAAAAGAACAGTTCATGCTGAAAATGAAATGGAGAAAGGATAGAGCAAAAGTAGCATTGATTTTTTATTGTTCATGGGTTGAAGAATACATGGATTTGGTGAAACAAGTTGGATCTCTGGTACAAACAAGGACATGCAGATGGAAAGATTGTTAGGTACAAAGCAGAGGACAAACAGATGAGAAGGGGATTAAAGAGCAGATGTGCATGCAGCATAAACAGACAACGACGAGCCACAAGCTCAATCAGACACATTTCTGAGTCATGAATCCAAGCAGTGGACAGAGATGACATGCATGTCTGTGTTTCCTAGTAGTTGTGTAAGAATTGACAGTAAGATATTGGTTCCTTTCCTTTCTCTGTCTTTTCCTCTTTATTTATCATGCTCATCTACAACCCAGCGTGTTTGCACTGCACCTTCTCTTAGTTTGGTTCTCTGTATCTCTCTCTCCAAGTCATCCCTGAGCTCCTCATTAGTTCTGATGCTGTCTTCTAGCTGCTGCCTGAGAAGCTGAACTGCTGTCAGTTCCAGCTGCAGAGCATGGAGACGCTGGGCGCTGAAAAACACACGAGGATCAAGACAGTTACACCTATGCACACAGCCTAAATCAATCATCAATATCACTAAGTGGGCTATTTTTAAATATTTAGCCAAGCACCGATCAAATCAGCCAGTGGCTTCAGCTGATAAAATAAGCCAATTTGTTCTGGATCCGCCGTAGCTAGCATTCTCCAGATCAAATAACAAAAAATCTGGGGCTTTTTTTCATTGAACTAGTACATTTAAGAACAGATTGCTTTTATTTAATTAAACTTATATGTATAAGAAATCAGAAACAGGTCAGGAATGTGTGCTTTGATGGATGTAATCTTAAAAATAAAAATATTTCTGCAGCACTTTATAGTCAATTTTGTAACTTTTTCAAGCTGAATTAAGACAGAAATGGTAATCAGTTTTTTTTACATACATTAAAAAGGTTTTCTTTATTATAATGAAGAAATTTAAACTCAGAAGGGATGATCCTAAGGTGAGCAAAAAAAACGGTACTGGCTGGTAAAAGCATGATCGGTGCATCGCTAACAGCAGCCACTTTTATATATTGATTACTCAAAAAAATAAAATAAACAGCAGCTGGTCAAATGACTCCTTACCTATCCTGCTCCTTTACAGTCCTAACTAATCTGGAGTACAGCTGTTGTTCAGCTCTAAGGGCTTTGTTTAGAGCGTTATGCTCCTGCTGCAAGGCTAAAAGATGAGGCAAAGCCTGAGGGCAAAAACAGGAACCATCTTACTAGTGAGCTTAAATTGTTGTTATGGATGAGTTAAGAAGGTATTTAAAGTGTTACATCTTGCTGGCTGTCTCCTCCTATTATGGTTATTTCTCTCTGAGGCAGCGTAGGTAGGGATCTATCCATGCTGGAGTCCATCAAATGATCCTGAGTGGGATCAGTCCTGCTGCCACCTCCCTGTCCAAGGTGCTGATGGAGAACCTGCTCAAAATTAAAAAAATAAAAAGGACAGTTATTAAACTGTAAATGTCTGGCAGAAGGCCATATGATATCAACATTTCAACATCACATTTTGCACTTTCATTTTTCTTCTTTTCAGATTGATATCCTTTTTTTTCCCCCAAATCTGAATCCCAAAGTTCCCCAGAAATTAACCACAGATAAAGAATCAAGACTTTATATATGGAATCTGAAAACACTGAGGATGGACATACAGATGGAAAAAGGACCTGAACAAAGTGGTTGTAGAGGGAAAGAAAGGAAGGCCAGATAAAAGGGCTTAAGAAAGAAAGGCTTGAAGGATTAATGGAGGAAAGGGAGGGAGGCTGTGGAAAAGGTTGAAACAAAGACACAAGGAAGGACTGAAGAAAAAAATAGCGATGCTCTAACTGGTCTATGTTAAAAAAGATCCAGCGGGAAAGGAATAAAAAGGAGGAACCATAAAAATCAGATCAAGAGACAGATAACTGTAGATAATGTAAGACAAGACAGACAGTTTGACTGAGATGTATGCCAGAATCAAAAAGGAATAAAAAAAACAGCCTAGGCGAAAACACTTATTTGTAAAAATTCGGATATTTATAATAAATACAATAGAAATGATTTAGTCAAGAAATACAAATATTCCTCTACACTTATCCAGACCTGAAAACCCAAACAAAGCTCAATACTTTTCTGTGTAGTACCCGTGCCATGCATTCACTAAGTTATGTAGAGCTTCTTACAGTAATAATCTCATCCTTGGTCTTCAGCATAGCGGTCAGGGAATCAATGTTGGCAGCTTGACCTTCCCTGCGACCGTCTAGCTCAGCGAGTAATGACTGGATTTCAGCCAAAGAAATCTGGAAATGAAAAATCAAGCTCTTGAATAAATATTTGATAATACAATCCCAGCACCAGATGTGAAAAGCTGCTTCCTGCTCACAGACCTTCAGTTCATTTTCTCTTTTCAGTGCTTTGTTTAGTGCTTCAGTTTTTTGTGCCAATTCGCTCTTCAGGACAACAACCGTTTGAATTGGAATCTTCTCCTGACTATGCTCACCATTCCTCGTAGATAGTTCAGCTTTATATGAGAAATGAAATAGATCAAACATAAAACCGATATGAAGACTGACCATATATATCAAGACATGATTTCAAGGACCTCCGAGTCTCACCTTCTCTCTCATCAAGTTTCTCTTGCATAATCTGAATGGTTTGTCGGAGCTCCAACACATGATCTGCCTCGGCCTTGTGACTCATCTCTGCCAAGAATCTGTCTCTCTCCTGACCCCCCTGCAGAAGCTTCTGCATAATAAATCATTCAAAAAATTAACACAATATCAGATTTTTTCTTTAAATAAAGAAAACAAATAAAATTGTTATTCTTTTTTTTATTTTGTGTAAAAATTTCGAGCCAAGAACAGCTTATCAGCAGCAAAAAAGGGAGTTGTCTCTAATGGATCTTACGTCAATGAGGCTGTCCTTCTCCGCTAGCAGGGTTCTTAGCTCTGCCGTCTCTAAATAACTCTCTTGGGTTGTTGACGAGCTTTTCTTCTCAGCTTTGGTGAGCTCCTGCTGCTTATCAGCCAACTGCTTCCTCAGTTCCTGAATCTCCTGAGCACGCTCAGACAGCATGCGGTTAAAGTGCTCAGCAGACTCCTTAGGAGAGAAAACGGCACATCGACGAATCAATAAGCTTAGACTTGTTAGTCCACACTGCATACACAGGTCACAAGTTTTTTTTCTGTTTGGCAGTATTAAAAAAATTTAACCTTATTTCATGCTTAATATAACAAACACAGCTGACCTTTCTTAAGAAAAACACACATAAGAAATACAAATGTAAGAAATATTGTCTTATGGTCTATAAAGTAACTTGAACCAATTGCCTTCTGCTAAAATTCCATGAAAAAAAACATTGACATTTAAGAAAACTACTCATGGCTGAAGTCCAGAGATCAATTTCTCAGTGTAAAACAACATGAGAAATACATTTTGTCTTCTCTAAACTCCACATTTTCAGCATTAAAATACATATAGAAAAATAACCACAAATTCTCTGGCAGAAATTTTTAAATTAGGTCCAACATCAAATATAGCAATAGCAATGACCGTAAGGACAGAACAGAATGGTGACTAGATGGATGGGTGGAATTTATTACATTGGTATTGAAAATGAGATCAGCGAATCCAAAAAACTTCTTTCATAAATAAAACGGCTTCAAAATACTTTTACACATTTCCTGACTCCCCCTTGCTGTTCAAGAACACTGATAATGGAACACTGACCTTAAGAAGTTGGTCCTTGCTGCTAATTGTAGCCAACAGCCCCTCCACGGCACTCTCATTGTCAGCTATGAGTCTTTCTCTGGCTTTCACAGCCTCAGACAGCATAGTTTCTGTGACCTTCAACCTGTGGCCCATCTGCTCAGCCAGATCCCGAGCATGACTCTGGGACTGGCTCAGCATTTTGTCTGCCATCTCCTATATACACAAAGTGAAAGCTTTAGAAACAAAACAGTCGAACTAAAGAACCTGTCTGAAATAAGAGATGTCATACGATAACTAAAAGCTAAAATCCCTACGGCTGGATCAAATGGGGGAAATAAAGTGCTAACTAACTTCCATATCTTTAATCTTTCCATCCAAGGAGAGCTGAAGCTGCTCGATGATGGCGTCTTTTTCCCTCAGTGACCTGTTTAGGTTATCTTCAGCATCTTGTTTGGCTCTCTGCAGGTTCTTCAGAGTGTTGGCAAGATGCTGCAGCTCAACATCTTTTTCCTTGATTAGACTGTCAAAACTCTGCAAGAAAAAAAAAAAATACATGAAGTGGATTCATTTTTTACATTTTCAATCAAAAAAGCTTAAAAGCTACTAACATTGATCGTTTCTTCATTGTGAGTAAGCAGGTTATTAAGTCTGTCCAAGTCCCTTTCCCTTTCTCTGAGCAACAGCTGCAGCTGGTGGATCTCATTGTCCTTCTCCTCAATGGCAGTAAATTTCTCATCCAGAGCTTTCTGTGGGAGGAAAACAAGAGGTGTTAAAAATATAAATATAGTCTTTGTGATGACCAGAAAACATTAAAAGGCGTACTCACCTCCAGTGCACTCTCCTTTTCCTTTAGCCTCTGCCGCAGCTTGTTAAGCATGCTGTCGTTGCTGCCAGGGCTCTTGCTTTGTTCCATGTCTCTGAGCAGGTTTATGTACTCCTGATAAACACAGTGAGATGCAGTTAAAAATATTTTCAAGTGCTTCAAAGGAGATTTTTTAATGTGTCATTTTTTAATTGGGTCACCTGTAGCTGGTGCTCCTTATCAGCCAGTGTTGTTGTGAGCCTGTGGATGGTCGCTTCATGGCTCTGTAGTTTTCTTTTGCTTTGTTCCAACAACTCCTGGTACTGTTGCTCCAGAGCACTTTCCCGTTCTTTTATCTCACTGCTCACCTTTTTAAGCTGATTGGTAAGATCCTGGAGAAAAGAAAATTAAATGGAATTGTTTATATTTTTGGGGGCAAAAAATGTAAAGATAGCAGAACACCCTTGTGCGTTTTTTACATTTAGGGCTTTGTCTCCTTTCTTTTTCTGTTGCTGCAGGTCCTCCAGTTCAATTTCAAGCTGGTCCTTGGCCTGTTGCAAGTCACCAAGTTCTTGTTCTTTCCTGTCCAAGGCACGCTGTAGTTTTTGTGCTTCCAGAACCTTGCTATGGTGTTCCCCTTGAAGTTGGGCAAACTCGGTTTGTTTTTCCATCAAAAGGTTTTGGTGCTCCTCTACTCCCTAAATATAACAAAACAAAAAGTTTAGTTAAAAATGTAATATTCTTGGCTACAATCTCTATCAGTGAGACTTTGGAAGCTAGATTTTTTGACATCCTAGGATATATGACATTTTTGAAAAATGTCATATATGCAAACATTTGGTTTTTGCTTAAAACTAAAGGCAGAAACACATTTTTATTGTGACTGCTGTCTGTAATAACATGGCCTTAGCATGTAGTCTTTGTTCCAGATGTAAACAATTAAGGAGCACTGGTTTTTAATGCTATTCTTAAACAGCATTCTGAATCAAACTATATCCATTTCAGTAGGTAAAAAATTTGGTTTTCAAAAAAACTCAAAATGTGACCAGTGCATCAAAAATATAGCATAATAGAATTACTAATGGAAACCAACACCATTAATCTTCACTGACATCCAAATAAATGTTAAGTAAAGAATCAATGCTTTGGATCTGGGGAAAAACAGTAGGAGCAAATAACATGCCTGATATTTCTGCATCTGGGCTTTATGTGCAGCCTCTCTGGCTTTGGTCAAAGCATCATCTCTGTCCTCAATCTCCTGACAAAGCTCCTCAATCTAAAAGCAAAAAGTCAGTTAATCAGCATAGTATGACTCTGACTTTGAAGTTATACCAAATAAAAAAATAGATTTTCCTTCGTAAATCACAGTTGGTTCATAAATTTATCTATTTTCTTTTACCTCCTTTTCTTTTTCTTTGAGGACCTGGGTAAGACCTTGGATTGTCTTATCCCGCTTCAAAGCATTTTTCTTTTCTGTATCAAGCTCATTCTCTTTCTCCTCCAATGTCAGAGACAGGGTCTGTCCAAAACAGATAACATGGGATGGTAAAGTTACATTTTCAAATTTAGTGCATTTGTAATGGAGAATGATGCAACCCATCTTATGTACCTTGTTTTGATTCTGTGAATCTTCCAGTGTTTTAGTCAGGTTTTCATTGCTGCTTTTTAGCCGGTTCAGTTCTTCAGTCAGCATTTTATTGATGGACTCCAAATTATTAACACCAGTCTTCTAAAAAAATTCAAAGGACACAAACACAAGAATAGAGAACAAAAAAAATTTAATGGTATAAGCTACTAGTAGGATGCTTGGAAAGGAATTTGCCACTTCCCATATAGGTGCAAATTCAACCCAACAGAGTATTACTGACATTAACTACCTTTATTTTGACAGGGGTGTATTCATCATTAAACTCTTCAGTGAGGTCATGCAGAGATTTCCAAACTGCCTCTCTGCTTCTTAGCTTCGCTCTAATAATGACAGTACCAGCGTTGAATTTTTTCAGCACAGGAATACGACTGCCTGATGGGGAGGACACTTGCTGCTTAGAGATGCAGCGCAGGAGCTGGATTAGGTCAGAGATTAAAGATGGCTGATTTGAAGTCCTGTGGGCCATTGAATTTGGCAGAACCTTTTTTCTTGGGTCAGCATTGGTACTATGCCCGGAACCAATTGACTTTAAGTCCAAAAGTTTTCTTTTGCGCAGAGGATCGGCAGGCTGATCTGAGGGCAAGTCTCTTATCAGTGATTGCAGAGAAGTGGAATGACTTTTGAATCCTTGTCTAGAAAGCGTTCCTTTTCGCTGCACTAGATCAAGGTACATGCTCTGTGACCGGTGACGTGTGCCACTGAGCCCGATATTCTTCATACAGCCATCTAACCCAGCTCCTGATCCCATCCTGCTGCTCCGAAGCCCACAGCGCCCAGGGGGTGCTCCTTTACTGATTCTGTCCAGACTCACACATCTTCTGATGCGATTCCCCTCATCAACATGTTCCCTAAACATAATTCCTTCATGGGGAGGCTGACAGGCAGCTTCCACATCACGACTGCCAACATCAGAGATCCTGAGAGGTATCTTAGAGCGGGTGCTTCCCCTACCACAGCTCCCAAGGTTGTTTCTGTTATAGACATGGACGATGCACTGGATTAAGTGATCCTTCTCCAACTGAAGTTTTTGAATCTTGCTGCTGTGTTCATCCTGCAGCTGATTGATATTAATATCACACTGAACCACCTTCTCCAGCTGGAAGACACATTTTCCACAGAGGAACTCTCCACGTCCATCCCGGATTACCTCCCGGCCCAGCACGTGGGATAGGATGACCTGGAGCTTCCTCTTTCCTGATGAACTGAATATCCAACGACACTGGCCTCCCACCAGACGAACACCACATATACGACACGGGTCCTTCATGGAACCTTGGATCTTGGTCAAATACTTCAATTAAATCCAAAAGATCTCTGACTGCCACGTCAAGTGTCCAGTGACTTAATGCTCATCATCCTGACGGCTATACTCCAACCATGCTGCATTTTTTTTCTCCCTCCATCAGCGAGGAAAACATAGATGAGAAAGACTGACTGCAAAGCACTATAAGCCCTAAGCCTTGATAATCCCTGCCTCCGCCTCTCTTTCGCTCTCCCCCTCATATTCAGCCAGATCAAATCCTTTGAGACTACTGCAGTTATTTGTGTTAGTGCCATTGCCAGAGAACTTTAAAGTATCATAACATTTACTGTAATTTTTTACTATAAGGTTGCACGAATAATGAGATTTCATGCATGAACCCGTACTTGTATCTGTGTACAACAACAATGTGCAACATCGAATACTACTCATTTTCTCTCTAACAACAAGAATTGGTAGGTGCTCTAATACTTCAAATCAGCAAGTGGCAGTTATGAACATATATTAAAGCCAGGCCACAAGAAGAAGATCCCGTTGCACCAGCCAGAGCTGTGTAGATAGGAGAGTTACACAACTGGAAAACCAAGCAACTTAGGGCGTCCAATAATTTGCTCCATTCAAAATACAGGCAGATCTTTGACAGACTGGATACTTTTGGTAATTATTTCATAAAATACACAACCATTAGGAAAAAGCTTATTGATTTACAGGTTGTACTCAACATTACAGGTCTGTTGTTAGCCATTTGAAATGTGTTTTATTTAATCCACAGCCTGTTTCAGTTAAGGTCTGAGCGGCTCATTAATTGATATTGGCAAAAATGTTGATATAAATTCTGCTCCTCTGCGCCTCCCTTCCTGAGCACTAAGATGCTCTGTGCCGCCCCTCCCCTCAATGAGCTCCCTCTGTACCACCCATCTCCGCAAACAAAAAGAAACAGAGAGCATGATGTGATATTTCAAAATTTTTTGTCTATTTTTCTGTAGTTTAGATGGTTTACTAATGTCTAGGGCATATAAGCGTGAGCGGCTAACTTCCCTCGAACTATTTAAGCTATTTCTGTTACCAATTCTCTTTAAAATGTTTAAAATGTTGCCTATTGTTTCCAATTCTATGGCTCTGGCAGGGGCAGTAGCAATGCTTAATAACTGGGTGACCTTAGCTAGGCCTGCTGTTAAGGAGGAGGTACACCAGCAATTTGGGCGTATTTTCAAGTGGGAATAAATGTCACAACAGAGGCAGCCACTATTCTCTGGTTAGCTTAGCAGTAAAACAGTTCAAATGCTTGGGTTTGAAAAATTTTGTATCAGTATATCCATTGTTTACTTGTTGCTGTTGATTATAAATGAGCTTTTAAAGGGGTACTGACACTTTTAAGAATTACTTAAAGTCTTTTAAAATCATTCCAATTTTGTAGCAGCACCTGCTTCTTATGTCAAAGATGGCAAATGCAGTGCAATAAATAGTGAAATATATCAAACCAAAAAAGAGTAATATGCCTGTAATTAATTGTAAAAATGAGTCTCTACCAAAACATATGCAAAGTACAGAAAACAAGATATAGGGAATGATTATAAGAAGGATTTCTGAAATTCAATCCAGCTATAGTTACAGTTAAGGTTAATACACTACAGAAAAAGAACCAAGATAAAGAAAAAACAAGCCTTTCTCAAACATCTCCTTTCCCCAACAGGAAAGGGCCCTGTCACACCTTGCTGTTTTAGCTAGCGTATGCCTGACATCCCAGAATCTTCTAAAACGCTGGCATATGCTGAACTTTCTATGTGTTTTTTTTTATTTTATGCATGTACATAGCGTATTTATAACAAGTCCAGAAAAAATTCATTGGAGCAAAATATGCAAAAATGAACGCTTAATTTAATATGATATATTTAAAAAAATCCCCACCAGCATCCAGTATATGTGCAGTTTCTGCCCAAATATTTTCAGTTGGTTTTGGATTTTAGTAACAGGGATAACTAGGATCATACATAATTGGTTTGTATGGACTATGTTTGTTCTCTACTTCCAAACTCAGCATATTCCCCTCCATGCCTGTGATGATAGGTTTGTTTTGAAGTTGTGAGGTGCGCTCTTGGAAGTTGTTGTGACTGGATGTTGTTGTGACTGGATTTTATTCAACTTTTAAGTCTCTTGGTATAAAATAAATATTTTGATTGTGATGAAAAATCCACTTCCTGGTATGTTGAAATAACAATATATTAAACATTTACATTTTTTTTATCACAGATAAAAAACATTATTACAGATGAATAATGATAGTTCATTGGGTGAAATGGACGTACAGAGAAGTTCAAACCCCATCAACACCCCCTTTCTCTGCAAATCTCACAATTTTAAACTTCCACCATTAAACGCGGGTGCGGGGGGGTTTGCACTGTTGTCGACCAAAATCCCGGACGATTTTGAAATTCCCCCACGGATATTTTCTTTTTTTTAGGTATGAAAAGTAGGACATGTCCAGGAAAAGGAGGATGTCTTGTCACCCTACCATTTCAAAAATTTCGATGTTTCAGTGAGTGCTTGTTGCTATGATGCATCTTTGCTCAGCAACTTTGCTCGTTTTAAACCAACCAATCAGCGCACAGCTCATCTAAATATTCATGAGCATACCATAAAAGGAAGAAATCCGATCGTTTAATTCTAGGGCTTTTAACCAGGCTTGCATTAGGGCTCATAGAACAGCAAATATGCCATTTTCAGCCCAATCAATGTTCCACACCCTATTCAGAGACTGTAAGCACCAGCACCAAATACCCTATATACCGTATTTTCACGACTATAAGGCGCATATAAACGTCTTTTTTTTCCCTCAAAATGTGTGGCGCACCCTATAGTGCGGTGCGTCCTATGTGTGTTACTGCGGACGTTGTTGAGACCACCATGAGAACGTTAAAGGGGGAAGTGTGGGCGTGGATTGTGTATAAAAGAACAGGTATGTGCTTTATGCAGAACT